ACTTTGAATTCTTATTACAGTGATAACAATATCTTGTCTGGCATAATTTTTCCAAAAAAGTTACGAATTGTTTTTTTTTTTTTTTTTTTTTTTTTGTAAATTTTATGATTTTGTAAATACTTAACGTATCGTCATCTTCCTTGTCTCATAAGTATTCTTGCCAGTAACTAGCGTTATGGTTTGTTTCTTAATACCATAACTAATCATCAAACAATAAAATCTTTCTGCTTACGAGCTTTTTTCTTATACATTCCTTAAAAGCTTTTATCTCCAGCATCCTGAATATATACAAGAATACCTTTGCCTTCTGTCAGGTTGAAAAGTGTCTTTTAACCTTTTCTAAACCTTAAAATCGGGAATCCTTTTGCTTTAGTCTTACTATTCATACTTTAATAATTAGATTAAAATATGTATTAAGTGTTGTAGTCTGGTAAACCTTAGGTCGTGGCTTCGATTCCCACCTGAGACACAGTTTTAGTTACATTATATGCAGTAGTTCCTGAGTTTATCGATTACAAACAAACATTACTCCATATAGTTAAAATAAAAAATAAGTAGATGTAGATAAACTAATCATAAATTTATAATCCATTTTTATGTTTTCTTCTCACTTTAGTGCTGCAACAATAAAGACATGAGTGCATCAAATAAATTTCTATCTGCGGAAAATGGTTTGCGCCATGATAAAGTTGCTATTCTAGATGCGGGTTCTCAATACGGAAAGGTATTCCTTACTTTATAATAAACATTTATTGGGAATAATTAAATAAAACTAATCTTTTGCATCGCAGGTTATTGATCGTAAAGTACGTGAACTATTGGTCGAATCAGATATTTTACCATTAGAAACACCGGCTGCAACTTTACGCACGACTGGTTATCGTGGCATTATCATATCCGGTGGACCCAATTCCGTCTATGCCGATGATGCTCCCAATTATGATCCTGATATTTTCAAATTAAAAATACCTGTTTTGGGTATTTGTTATGGCATGCAAATGATTAATAAAGAATTTGGCGGTACTGTTCAAAGGAAAAATGTACGTGAAGATGGTCAGACTACAATTGAAGTCGAGACATCATGTCCACTGTTCAAGTAAGTGTCAAATGGAACGAAAGAGCGAATATTTTTCTTTAATCCTATTTTACGAAGGAAAAGAAAGCATTTATTTTTAAAAGCTTTAATAACTGCCGATACAATCCTTCAACATTAACAAAAACTATGAACACTCCAATATTGTTAAGTTTATCAAATTGGACTACACGTGGTTTAACAAGTTTCCTCTTTGAAAATATGTAATTTAGGGGATTTAAAAAAAAATACATTTAATGATTATTCATAATTTTACAGCCGTTTGAATCGCACCCAAACTGTGCTTTTAACCCACGGCGACAGTGTGGAACGCATTGGTGATAAGTTAAAAGTTGCTGGACGTTCGTCTAGCAATATTATAACTGCCATTTATAACGAAAGCTTGCGGATATATGGTGTACAATTTCATCCAGAGGTGGATCTAACCGTTTGCGGCAAACAAATGTTGCAAAATTTTCTATTCGATATTTGTGGTTTGACGCCCAACTTTACCATGGGCAGTCGTAAAGAGGAATGTGTTAAATACATAAAGGATAAAGTTGGCAACAATAAAGTGTTGGTAGGTTTAACCTAAATGTAAAAAAAAAACACTTAAAATTAGTAATAAATAATTATTTGCTTTTATATTTAGTTACTTGTTAGTGGTGGTGTTGATTCGTCTGTGTGTGCTGCCTTATTGCGTCATGCTTTACATCCCAGCCAAATTATAGCCGTGCATGTGGACAATGGTTTCATGCGCAAGGATGAAAGTGAAAAGGTGGAAAAATCTTTACGCGATATTGGCATTGATTTAATTGTACGCAAGGAAGCCTATACGTTCCTAAAGGGAACTACCCAAATCAAAAGACCCGGACAATTCTCTATTGTGGAAACGCCCATGCTTTGTCAGACCATAAATCCCGAAGAGAAACGTAAAATTATTGGTGACATTTTCGTAAAGATTACAAATGATGTTGTAGCCGAATTGAAACTAAAGCCCGAAGAAGTTATGTTGGCCCAGGGTACCTTAAGGCCAGATTTAATTGAGTCTGCTTCAAGTTCGGTCAGCAAGAAAGCCGACACTATTAAAACACATCATAATGATACAGATCTTATAAGGTATGTACTTAAACTAACTGACGTTCAAGTATTTTTCTATAACAAACAGATTTTGAAATCTTGCAGAGAGCTTCGCAATGCTGGTCGTGTAGTTGAACCTTTAAGTGATTTCCACAAGGATGAAGTTAGAGAATTAGGCAATGATTTGGGTTTACCAGCTGAATTGGTAGAAAGACAACCATTCCCTGGTCCAGGTCTAGCCATACGTATATTATGTGCTGAAGAGCCTTTCATTGAAAAGGATTATTCGGAAACACAAGTAAGTAAACTCTACGCTTAAAAATAAAATAGAGTTTTAATAAAACTTTAAATTTTTCAGGTTATTGCCCGTGTTATAGTCGATTACAAGAATAAATTGGAAAAGAATCATGCATTAATAAATCGTGTAACTGGCGCCACCACAGAAACTGAACAAAGAGAACTTATGCGAATTTCTTCAAATTCCCAAATACAAGCCACTGTGCTGCCCATACGTTCTGTTGGTGTACAGGGTAATTAATTGTTATTATTTATGGTTTTGTTTTAAGATTTTAAAGTTTTATTTTTTAAATGTAATTAAAGGTGATGCCCGTACCTATAGTTATGTAGTTGGTCTCTCTAGTTCCCATGAACCCAATTGGGATGATATGTTATTCTTAGCCAAATTAATACCTCGTATTTTACATAATGTCAATCGTATTTGTTATGTCTTTGGCGAACCGGTTCAATATCAAATCACCGATATCACTCACACCACCCTTAATAATTATGTTATTAAACAACTGAGACAGGCCGATGCTATCGCTAATGAAGTAAGTTATTGACTTTAATTTTTTGTATTTCGAATTCCCTAACAAAAACTTATCTGTTACAGGTTATAATGCAAGCTGGACTTTATCGTAAAATTTCACAAATGCCTGTTGTTCTAATACCTGTACACTTTGATAGAGATCCCACAAATCGTACACCCTCATGCAGTCGATCGATTGTTTTGAGACCATTCTTAACTAGTGACTTTATGACTGGAGTGCCGGCTATTCCAGGTTCCGAACAATTACCAATTTCCGTAAGTTTTAAACATAAGATATAACTTACAAGTCTTTGCTTTAATATGAATTTATTTCCCCTCTTTTAAGGTGCTACACAATATGGTGCAACAAATTTCCAAATTAGATGGAATCTCAAGAGTCCTTTATGATTTAACATCAAAACCACCGGGTACAACAGAATGGGAATGATTAAATCAAATGCGTTTGCTCTATACCCTCGCTGCAGCTACAGCCGTTGCCGCTACCACCGCCACAACAATTTCAACAATACAACAACAACAGCAACAACATCAAATGTTGACAACATAAATACAACAAAAACAATAATTTAATTAAAGAAATACAATCCAATTTAATTTGAAAACAGAAAAACGAAATAATGTTGTAGAAAATTAATGGAACAAACCACTAAACAACATGATCGATCAAATGTTTTATTTTGTTTTAAAATATTTGATAATAACATGAAACAACAACAACTACACAAACAGCCATTAACAATTATAACTACAATTAATAAACTTTTCATTTGAATATAAATAAGTTTTTATTATAAAAAGTAAAATAAAATCAGATTCAATAATAAAAACAAAAGGATTTTTATAATTACTCAATGGATATTCAAATACAATTCCTGGCAGTATTGCATGTCAAATTAAAAGTTCGAATGAATTCCAATTTTCATACAATTCGTTTGACATGTAGAAATAACAGTGAATCAGAAATCATGCACTAACTTATAATGTATGTACAGTTTTTATGTTTTTCAATTGAATAAGTCAATAGACATTTATTTTTTAAATAATAAAAACGTTTAAAAATAACACGAAAAAACGAGGATAAATGATTTTAAATCCATTTATAAAAGTCGTCTTTTAAAGCTTAATATTATTAATATAAATTTCCTTAACATATTTATATATAATTTGTTTCTACAAAAAAAAAATATTAGTTAATGTTGGCAAATTTAAAATAAAACTAAAAACGTCCATTAACAAATATGTTTAAAATTTTGTTGTAATTGTAGTTTTTCTTTCATTATTTTCTGTCCGCTTATTTTCTTTTTGTATTTTAAACTTTTTGTAAAATAAAATTTATAATATTAACTAAATAAAAAAAGTCTGCAAAAATATTATAAACAATATTTATAAAAAAATCTATAAAATCCATACACACACAGACACTAAAAACAAAAACAAAAATTAAATTTTAAATAAATTAACACAGGAAATTAAAAATAATAATTAAAAAAAAAAAAAAAAAATAAAAAAAAAACTATTATATACCTAAATGTAAAATTAACAAAATTAAATTGTTATAAAACGTCATAAAGTTTATTATATAAATAAAAAAATATATAAAAAAAACAAAATAAATACATTTACGATAAAATATATATTTAAAATATATATAGAACATAAATATATATATATATAAATAAACACATACATACATCTAAATATTTGAAATATTATTAATAAATAATTGAAAATAAATAAAAAAAATAATTGATGACAATGAAAATGATGATTCGAGGCATGATAAAAAAGTAATAATTATGAGAGTATGATAGATGTGCTGCATTTTTAAAAAAAATATTGAACATAAAAAATATATATATTTAAAGCCTATAACAAAACATATTTTTAAAAATAATAAATGAGAAACTAATTAACAAAACTCATCCATTAGTTTAATATTTTTTGAAAATCATTCCTATTCTGCATTTCAATTCGAATCGAAATTTTTTCCATTTGGCAACTTTGGTATTCTGCATTTCGACTCACCCACAATTTTAACTCTGATCTATCAGACTCAGCACGATCAGACTCATTCAGCACGACCGTGCACAAATGATGCGGCTCTGGACTTATGCAAAGCTATTGATACGGTCGATCATTCCGTGCTGATAAATGACATCTCGAACTCCACTCTACCCAAAGATGTCAAACGCTGGATTGGCAGTTATATCTGTGGCAGACAAACATTTTGTTGAGTTCATAGGCGGGAAGTCCAACTACCGCAAGATAGTGGGCGTGCCACAAGGAGGAGTACTATCGTCTATACTCTTCAACATTTATTTTTCCTCGCTTCCCGAACCACCTCAAGGTGTTTCGATGAAGTCGTATGCAGATAACTCAACATCTAAGTCAAATGCAGACGTACTCCTATGGTTCAGAACCCGAAAATTTTAGGAGTAGTCTTCTACAGCCTCCTTCTCTTTGCACGCCACCTACATCGACCATAAAGTGAAATCCCGAATTAAATCCTAAAAGCACTCGCTGGCACCTGCTGGGGCATGGATAAGGAGACAATCACGGCGACGTATAAGCAATTGGTCGCTCTCTCCTTAATTACGCTGCCCTAATATGGACCCCTTATTTCAGTGACACTCAATGGCGAGTATTGCAGACAACCATCCCACCGGAACGACTCGGAGTTCAACGAACAACGACTAAAGATTGTCAACCCAGCCACACCGACTTTACACGTATCGCTAATACAACAACCACAACAACCATCAAATTTTGATGAAAAAACCAAATTCTTTTGCTCATGGCTGGAGTTAAACTAAATTTAAGACAATGGTATTGCTCTAACAAACCATCAGTTATGTGCACCGTTTGCAACGAGTGGGTCCACTTCAGAAAAGATGCCAACCGTAACCGCAACGGTTTAAATGATTTTGGCGAGTGGAGAGGATAGGATAGTTCGTTGCCCCATGCTACATCAATAGGCTACATAATTCCTAAACGTTCTCAACATCGATACAATCAAGTTCGTTCGTTCGATAAACACAAACAATTTGGTTAGAATCTCCAACTCCCGACAGCATCAAACCCAAAAGCTGCTCATAAGCCTGAAATGATGATATATGTAAATGCATTTCAATTGTAATGAAATCCATAATGAGATCGTAGATATAACTAGATTCAGGCAGCAGCGATCCAAGAAACGAAACTGATGTCCAGCTACCAATAACATCGCTGTAATAATTACAACATTCTACGCCGGGATCAGGTAAGAGCGGAGGTTTAGATACAACCTAAATTCCTAAATCGATCCAAGGGATTGCGATTTAGTCAAGTGCTACCGTAATTGAACTGTCCAACGTATTCATTCCGCCAATTAACAGCGTACCAGCAGGCTGTCAGAAATTAAATTCATCTTGAAAGCCGATAGCCATGTCGAGACTTTAATGCACATCACGAACGTTAGCATTCGAATCTCTAGGATGATCAGAAGGGTATTTCACTTGCGGATTGAAGACATCCAAATAAACCTCCATCGGAACTAGATATCATCTAACATTCTGATGGATGAAAGAAACAAAGATTAGAAGATTCGTAACAAGGTTTCAGGATTGAATCATGTAAATTCTCAACCTTTCTGCTGTAATACTGGGTCCGAGAACATTTATAATATGTCACAAAAACTTAAGATATCTTCTCTCAACAGTGTTGTCTACTTTGGATGCAGCGGTGTTGAAATTGACAACAATTACCAAGCATCTATTTACCTGGTCATCGACTATCCCACACTACCGCTCACGTCGGAGTTGATGAGGCACTAAGAAGGGGGAAATACATTTTAGTAGGTTGTGATGTTAACTTACACCATGTAGCATAGAGTAGAACTAACCAATATATAGATTTCCTTAATATAAAAGACTTGATCACTTTTAATTTATGTAAAGATGCCCACTTTTTTCAATTGGATTTGGGAAGAATACATGACTATATGTTCAGAGGGTCTTATATATTTTAGATAAAAATTTCTTGATCGAAACGTCAGTTCGCAGAATAGTTTGTATGAGTCTTGTTAGCTCTCGAGATACCATGATACATATTCATTTTTCCCGAGATTCTGAATCTCCATAGTTAATCTTATTCTGAAATGTTATCGCCTTAGGCTGAGGCCAAAGTGTTTTGAACCATATATACCGATAATCAGAAAATAAGTACTCTTCCAAAACTCTCCAATCCTGAATCTTATAAGATTCTATTCTATTTAACCTAATTCTTACGTTTACCCCTAAGTGGAGGGTTAAAGACTAGCAATTTTAGCATGAGCTTGTTCTAGAAGAATGTCAATCATCATCGATGTATTACAAAGAGACAGCCGGAAAACTAGTGTAATGAACCGTTTGGTTTAAGTTTTTTAAGTAACTACTCTCTAGACAATTCCGGGACAGTAAGTGACCAATATATTCGATCTTGTTTACGAAAGGGACACTAAAGTGACGAATGTCATTACTCTAGTATGCAAAGATGTAGAGGAGCTAGGTAAGATTGAGCATATAATATGACATTGTCCTAGAATACAGAATCTCAAGTTGAAATGGCTGGAAAATAGGTTCCATGACGAACTGGTGGAAGTTGCTGAACTCAATCCTCACAGTCTACTTGGTTTTTCAGTAATTTCTCCGACTGTGTTTTAAAAGGTGATTCATATTCTCTTTCACTTCCTTCTTTAGAAAATTGATTTGATAAAACTTCTAGGTTGAAACACCCTTGGAAGCGATCTACTTACATTCCTCTCTCCTCTCTATTTATGTTCTTTTTGTTTTTCTAGTGTTTTAGTTCTCTATTTCTGGATCTTCACTTTCTACGAAGGGAATTACAACGACAATAAGGTCGTCTTCGAGTGGAGTTGCACCTTTTTATGGTGCATAACACTTCTTAACCTAAACTTAAACATACGAAGATTAATTTTAATTTATTTGCTGATCTAAAAGTTGTAAACTGGGTTTAGTTTTCTTCAAAAATGTTTGTTAATTTCTAAAGTAGTTGGTACTTTTGTTAACCATTCACTATTAACGAGTTTTTAAATTAAACATACCCTTCCTATACCGTTATATCATATGTAAAATATGTCCTCTATGTACTACAAATAAACAATTTTCTGTACTAAAATGTGTTTTCAGTAAACAAGACAAAGTAATGTTATTTTACCTTTCAATCATAGTGAATTTGTTGATTCAGCTGAAAAAGTCCAATTATTTAAAATAAAGCCAAATGGATTTGGGAGATCCATCGTTGAAGCCAATTAAAGTCTTGGGTTCAGGCTCATTTGGGCGTGTATTTCTCTGCAAGTATCGTAATACTCAAATGGTGTGTGTAAAACGTATTATTGTGCAAAATCCTAAACAAGAAATGAAAATGATCATGGAGGAGGTAAATGATACAAATATAAAATCCCAGTGTTAAAAGAAATAAAACAGTTTTGTTAATTTTTTTGCAGGTCTATATCATATCTCAAGTACGTCATCCAAATATTATTCAGTTTATTGGTTCTTTTGTTCATGCCGGAACGGTTAATATAATTATGGAATATGCTCCAAATGGTACGCTCCAAGATATTATAAATCAAGCGCGACCAGTGGGACTCTCTAATGCCAACATTCTGCGTTATTTTTGTGACATTCTAATGGGATTGGAGTATTTGCACATACGACATGTTTTCCATCGTGATCTAAAGCCTGCTAATCTACTGGTCGATATAAATGATCATATCAAAATTGCCGACTTTGGAATTTCTCTAATACACACACCGAATAAAGCGAGTGGCAATGCAGCTGGTACTGCATTTTATTCGGCACCTGAAGTTTTGCGTGGTGATAAATACGATTACAAATCGGATATTTGGTCATTGGGATGTATCCTTTATGAAATGTGTGTGGGTCATAGTCCATTCTCTCAGGCCAATAATTTAGAAGATTTGATGTATCTGATTAAAGTTTTAACGCGCCAAAAGCTAAATTGCAGTTATATAAGAAATAAATATGGTCCCTTATGGGCGAGTCTATGTGAACAGATGATTATGATTAATATACAACAACGAATCTCCCTACCCGATATTCTGTGTATGGATCCGGCTCTAACTTTACCTTATTATAATAAATATTTTGATTATAAGTATTGATTGAATTCGGATTGGATTAGGTTAACATTTATTATCTTTAATTGAGGTTAAGAAGACTCGTGTTATTTGATGTTAATTTGTCATTTCATGTAATTTTGATATCTAATGTTCTTTAGTTAAAATACGGATGTATGTTTAAATAAACTTAATGATTTTTTTTAAAGGCAGATAGCTTAAAACTAGGCTCGAAATCTTCCCGATAAACGTTAACTGAACGTTGAGATAAGCGACCCTAAAAGATTGTTTTAATTTAGAGATTCAACATCAATCTTCAACTATGGTATTCTGCATTTCGATACACTTCGTAATGCAAAATACAATCGTAAATTATTGAAACGAAGTGGAGTTGCTTCTTCTTTTTCTTACGATTCTACTACGTATAATTGATTTTCGGAAGAGGACCTTATGTTGGGTGCTGGCGCACTGCAATGTACATGCGGATTAGGTTCGAACCTTAACATGAATGATAAGGGAATTGATAGTCTTAATCTTATATATCTCAATTTTAGACCACCCATCTGTCATTATCATAAGTTTATTTTCGTGAGAATGCGTAACATCATCAACCAATCCTGGATTAGTTTGCAAAATATCAATGGCCTTATGGCCAACACTTGATGTGAGGGCTACCAAGACACTTAAAGGACTGGATAGGCACATTCTAAGGATTTTGGCAGGGATATTGATTGGCATTGCTCAATTAGTGCCCTTGTCAGAAAGTAGGACAGTAATATACTGAACTATTGCAGGAAATGCGAAAATGCCGATGAACTAAAGGCGATTGAGCATATAATTTGCCACTGTCCTAGAATCTCAGGTCAAAATGGCTGGAATTAATTAATTAAAGTGCGGGACTCAGCCCTCGCAGTCAAATAGGTTTTATCAGGGGAATTAGTTTTTTCTTCGACTAGGTTTTATAGGGAGACTTAGATTCTCTCACAATTCTTTCTTAGGGAATCGATTCGGCAAAACTTCCAGGTTGAAACCCCTTGGGAATGACCTGTTTGTTATTCCTCTCTCCTTTCTACTTATTTTAATTTGGTTACCTTCCAGTGATTTGTTTCCATATCTTTGGATCTTCACACACTACGAAGGGAATGATTGGTGCATTATCCTTCTTAACCTAAAACTATTAACAATAAATCTATTTTCCGGGAGTTCGACAATTTTTTATGGGGGCTATATGAAATTTTGAACCGTTTTCACAGAAATTATCTTAGGATTTGTTTGAGCAATCTAATGCATAAATGTTCGTTTGAAAAACATCCAGTTAAATTATTCAAGTTATACTTACTACAAAGAACTGAATCATAAATAAGAAAACAATCATTTTTTTTCATTTAAATGAATTTAATATTGAATCACATCATCCGAACTATTTATATAATAAATATGCGTGTATTAAGTAATAATAGATCATCAACATCATCTTGCGTAATCGTAAATAATCGTATTTGTGAACGACGTAGTATTAAATAGCAAATTGAAAATATTACATTTTTTTCTTAATTATTTCACTCGCTTATTGTCCTGGCAACTACATATTAAAATTTTGAAATAAATTAACTATATTTGGTGTTTCGCTTTTTTTAATTTTTCACTGAATTAAATTCATCATTTTTTTTTTCTTTATTAAATAAAAATTTTAATTAAGTATATATGGTATATCGTGTAATGAGTGTTTCGCCATCTGTTTTATGTTTTGTTTTTTCTTTCCTCTTAATTGTTGCATTTTTTACAATAATTAACAATAAGAAATGGTATATCATTTAAAAATACAATATCGTAAATATATATAAATATGTGTATCGAATTTCGATCTTTGTTTTTTAAACATAAATTGAAACAACAATATTACAAAATAATTGTATATTCATTCATTCATCCATTCAACTATTCAGTGTTACTTCAAGTAAATTGAACCAGTGAACAAAATGACTAAATTATTTATAGACCTAAAATTAAACTGGCGGGAAAAGCAAGACAAACAAAAAAAGTCATCATAAATTAGGAAAAAATCAGACATGCAGTGTTGGATTTTAGATTTAGTTGCCAGAAATTTCCTTCATGCGGTTGAGGGCACTACCGGCTCTGAACCATTCAATTTGTTGTTCGTTCATGGTGTGATTCAACTTGATCTTTTCAACCTTGTCGCCGTTCTTGATTTCACAATCGACTTGTTTGCCAGGTGCCAAGTTGGCAAGACCCAACAACGAGATTTTGCTAGTGGGTTGAACCTAAAATTATACCAAAAACACGTGTACCAATTGTTATTTACCAATCCAAATACATAATGGGAAAGTCTGTATTTACCTTATCGTAATCGGCAGGGTTGGCGAAGGTCAAAGGCAATAGACCTTGTTTCTTCAAGTTGGTTTCGTGGATACGGGCAAAGGATTTGACAATGATGGCACGGCCACCCAAGTGACGGGGTTCCAAGGCGGCATGTTCGCGAGATGAACCCTCACCGTAGTTGTCATCACCAACGGCAACCCATCTAATGTTGTTGGCCTTGTAGTCACGGGCAACGTCGGGTACACCACCCCATTCACCGGTACGTTGGTTCTTGATCTTGTTCATTTCATTGTTTTCGTAGTTGGTAGCACCAATGAACATGTTGTTGGAGATATTGTCCAAATGGCCACGGTATTTCAACCAGGGACCAGCGGCAGAAATGTGATCAGTGGTACACTTACCCTTGACCTTGATGAGGACAGTCAAATCGGTATAATCTTTGCCGTCCCACTTGTCGAAGGGAGACAACAATTGCAAACGTTGACTCTTGGGATCGACATCAACCTTAACGTTCTCACCGTTCTACAATCAGAAATAGGACACTATTATAGAATATATTGATTTCCACATTTGCGTTATTCACTACTTACAGCTGGAGGAGCATCATAGGTGTCCATGCCGGGGTCGAAGCCCTTGGAGGGTAATTCATCACCGTAGGGAGAATCCAATTTGAATTTCTTGCCATCAGCACCAGTCAATTCATCGGTAAGAGGGTTGAAATCCAAGCGACCAGCAATGGAAAGAGCTGTTACCAATTCAGGGCTACAAAAGAGCATTTAGTTATTTATAATCATATAAAAACATTTTTTAGAGGCATTGAAAACTTTTAATATAATGTATTCGTTTCTCACCTAGTAACGAAGGCATGAGTGGCAGGGTTGGCATCATTACGGCCGGTAAAGTTACGGTTGTAGGAGGTGACAATGGTGTTCTTGTCGCCCTTCTTGATGTCCTTACGATCCCATTGACCAATGCAGGGACCACAGGCGTTAGCCAAGACGGTACCACCGAATTTGCTGAAAACTTCAGAGATGCCGTCACGTTCAATGGTGGCACGGATCTGTTCAGAACCGGGAGTTACATTGAAGGGAATCTTGGATTTGAGACCATGTTTCATGGCGTTCTTGGCAATGCTGGCGCAACGACCCATATCTTCGTAGGAAGAGTTGGTGCAGGAACCGATCAAACCGACCTTAATGTCCAAAGGATAACCGTTCTTCTTGGAGTTTTCACCCAACTTGCTGATGGGATGGGCCAAATCGGGAGTGAAGGGACCGTTGACATGGGGTTCCAAAGTGTTCAAGTCAATTTCGATGACATCATCGTATTGGCAATTGTTGTCGGCTGACAAGATCTTAGATTGGAATTTCTTGGCTTCATCAGCGATGCCGGAGCGACCAGTGGATTTCAAGTAAGCAGCCATACGTTCATTGAAGGGGAACACTGAAGTGGTGGCGCCAATTTCAGCACCCATGTTGCAAATAGTAGCCATACCAGTGCAAGAAATCGAGTCTACACCGTTGCCGTGGTATTCAATGATGGCACCTGTACCACCCTTGACGGTCAAGATGTCAGCTACCTTCAAGATAACATCCTTGGGGGAAGTCCAACCGCTAATCTTGCCAGTCAATTTGACACCAATAACCTTGGGACACTTCAATTCCCAGGGGATGTTGGCCATTACATCAACGGCATCAGCACCACCGACACCAATGCACAAACCGCCAAGACCACCACCGTTGGGAGTGTGGGAATCAGTACCGATCATCAACAAACCGGGGAAGGCATAGTTTTCCAAAATGATTTGATGGATAATACCACTGCCTGGCTTCCAGAAACCCAAACCGTATTTGGCGCAAGCACTGGCCAAGAATTTGTAGACTTCGCTGTTCAAGTCCTTGGCGCGAGCCAAATCCTTAACACCACCAACTTGAGCTTCGATCAAGTGATCGCAGTGCACGGTGGAGGGCACAGCTACCTTCTTCAAGCCGGAGGAAATGAATTGCAAAAGAGCCATTTGAGCGGTGGCATCTTGCATAGCAACGCGATCGGGGCGCAAACGCAAGTAAGAGGTGCCACGAACGATTTCTTGGTTTTTGGGATCATCCAAGTGAGAGTACAAAATCTTCTCGGACAAGGTCAAAGGACGGTTCAAACGATCCTTGACAACATCCAAAGTTTTGGCCAACTTGTCATAAGGCAAAAATACATCGGAATCGAATTTGGACAAAGCTACTTTAGAAGCGGTATAGCAGGAAGCATGGAATTGACGAGCTTGTACATCAAAACCATATTGTCCGGCTTTGCGAACCTAAAACAACAACAGCATAAAGACAAAATATAGAAACAAATGAAAACGTATCAATTTAAATTGCTAAACAGCGACAGAGAATGGAAGATAAGAGTGATTGACAAACTTGTTAATTACGCTAATAAGCTAACAACAAATACATAATTTAATCAAGCCGTTATAGCTTCTTTACAAAATCTTCTGCCAGTTCACTCACACTTTCATTCATTCAGGCACACATGACCTTGTTTTTTTTTTTTTTTTTTTTTTTTGCTTAAAGCGGTATTAATTTTAGAATGCCGTGGTAGTCTGTGACAACTTTATATCAATGTGCATAAATATATGTATGTTTAAGTCTTATCAGTTCTGGAAAAACACTAACAACACTATGTACTGATGGTGAAATTCTAAAGGTAAATATTTGTTAAAAAAAATTTGTTTAAAAAAAAAACAACTAATATACATATTAAGTCACATGGCTGTTGGACTGTGACTATATTTGTCTGGCAGTGGAAATTGTTTTTGCTATGTTTTAAAAAAAAAAACCTTTAAGTAGATGTGATTGTCATTGAACCTTAAAAA